TTCTCACTCTAACGTGGAATAAACTGCAAACAACATATTGGATACTGTGTGTGCAACAGAAAAGAAAGTATGTTAAAGGCACAAATATAAGAATGGAAATAGCTGTGCGTTTGAGTGGCAGGATTATGGATGACTTACTATTAATATTTTGTTAACATTTAAAAAATATTTCCTATGTAGTTTTTACAATATAATTTTAACAACTCACAAAATATCTCAGGATATAATTCATTCCACCCCTCTCCTTTGATGAGGAAACCAAGCCCAGGAGTGAGAAGCCTGCTTATGGTGTAGAAAACGGTTTTCATCCAAGTGACCTTGGAGTCCTGAGTCATACCTATAAGGACTTTTTTAAACAGCTTTAGTGAGATATGATTTACATACCATACAATTCCCCCATCTGAAGTGTACAGTTCAGTGTTTTTGGTGCATTCACAGAGTTGTGCAACCATCACCACAGTCAATTTTACATTTTCATTATTACCCCAAAAAGAACCCCCAACACCTCTCAGGATCACTCTCTAATCTCTTGTCCCCCTGCCCCCCCAGTCCTGTGCAGCCACTCATCTGTTTTCTGTCTCCATGGATTTGCCTGTTCTGGATGTTTCCTATGAATGAATCACACAATATGTGACCTTTTGTGACTGGCTTCTTTCACTGAGCATCGAGTTTTCAAGGTTCATCCACATTGTAGCGTGTGTTCTTTTGCTGAATAAATTCCACTGTATGGACCACATACAAGCCTGAGCAGGCGTTCCGGAGGGAGAGCATGGTTTATGGACCCACAGAGCTGGTGCTGGTCCTGCATGGTGGCCAAAGAAGAAAGTGGTGTCTGCAGAGTTCAGGAGATGCTGCCAGAGGGCCAGGGTGAGAAGGAGGGGTGTGAGCTGTTCTTGCAAAGTTGAACTGTTAAGGGAAGGAGGGGCTGTTGTTAGGTTTTGTTTTAGGGTACAGGAGACCTAAGAACCTTGATGGTCCAAATGCAAGGAACCAGCAGAGGCAGAGAGGTTTGGTGACCAGAGAGAGCAGGACATGCATGGTGGAGAAAGGGCCCCCCTGGGGAAAGGGAAATGTGCCAAGGGAAATGGATGGAGACAATTTTCCAAATTAAGATAAAATATGTATGCCCTCTTTATCCAGACAGTGAAGAGTGATTAAGAGCTTATGAAGGTAATTATCTCCAGTGGATAAATTGTGAAACAGATAAAAATTGTAAAATTCTGAATCAGAGAGAGATAACTTTAGTTAATCAGAAATCTGCCCTTTTTTGGAGAACCTCTTTCATCGTTGATGTTAGGTAAATAGGGCATTACTACATACAGTTTGTTACAGATTTCTTTTTTGCATGCGTGATAAAATATATACACAAAAATTTACAACTTTAATCATTTTTAAGTGTACAGTTCAGTGACATTAAATACATTTACATTGTTGTACAACCATCACCACCATTGTCTTTCATCATACCAAACTGATACTCTGTATCCATTATATAACTCCCTACACGCCGCCCCCGCCCCCCAGCCCTCCGGGCACCTGGCAACCACCATTTGACTTTCCGTCTCTATGAGTTTGATCACTCTAGCTACATCATATCAGTGGAATCATACAGCATTTGCCCTTCTGCTACTGGCTTATTTCATATTACAGACTTGAAACAATTTTCGCTTTCTATCCTTTATACTTAATATCTTTGTTCCTCTCACTGGATTACCAGCCTTGTAAACATGATAAGCTGAGGGATTTTAACATTTGTGTAACATGACACCTGGAGTTCAAAAGCACTTTGATGTTGGACATTTCACAACCATGAGTATTATTCCTTCCATCAGAAAGCCAAAACCACAAAGTTCAGTCACTTGCCAAGAATAGCAGTTACTGTTGCTGCATAACAAATGGTCCCTGGTCTTACTAGCTTAAAATAACAGTAGTGTATTATCGATCAGGGTTCCATGGGGCTGTTCCTCTGCTGGTTTCCTTGGGCTCCTTCATGTGGCTACACACAGCAGGAGGATCTGCTGAAGATGGTCTTCCTCCATGCCGGGCAGTGCCTCTGTCGCCTGCATGTGGCCTCTCACACAGCTTCCTTCCTTCGCTAGCAGTCTCAGGGCCATGTCCCATGAGGGCAAGGACTTCCAAACCCCCACAGCGTGTTTCTGCCACACTCTGACAAGTCATAGCAAGTGACTGATCTGGGCTGGAGGCCAATCCAAATTCAAGGCCACAGTGCAAAGGGGCCTGCATACTTTATGGAGTTTGTGGTCATTAAGCGATCTACACTTTTAAGGCCCTTTAATGGTTGAGAAGGGAACTGTGAATCAAATCCAAATTCTAGTCCATTACAATACTCACGCCTTTCCATAGACGGTGGATGGTCAGCCATAGTTCGTCTTTTGTTGTACTGGAACTTTTTCCATATCTTTTGAGGCACATGGGTCTTGAATTTAAACAGCAATTTTAGTTGAGAGGATTTCAGTGTCTCCTGACTCGGGGTCCCATGACTCCCAAGGGAATGTGGGGGGTTCTTTGCCATGCCAACCCCCACTGGTCATGGTTGGTCATGCCTAGTTATGCCGAACCCTGCTGACCTGAAAGAGGCCAGGCTTCGGTGTCAGATAGCCTGAGGCCGAGGGGGTTGGGGGTGGGGGGCCGGCCCTGCAGCCTCCACCTGTCCAGCTGCATGGCGGGGTCTGACTGTCTGTCCTGTAGGAATGTGCATGCTGGCTAGACAGTGACCATACCACTTTGGGTGACCTGAGTTGTCTGAAAGGCTTTCTGTGGAAGCGAGGGCCAGCTTGCCTGCGCCCTTTCACCCTGTTGATGAAAGCCACAGGGAAGGCAGGGGAAGGCAGGAGCACAGACAGCTTGCAGGGCGTGGGGAGGACAAGGGGTCTGGAACCTGCCACTTTCTTGCATCCTGGGACCTCAGATCCTGGAGCCTGCCAGCCAGAGGGGCGGGCTGTGGACAGAGGGACATGCCCTGGGGCTAATCAGTGCTGGGGGGCGGCCTCAGCCTTAACCCTTTCCTTCCCAGAGTTGCTCTGCCCCTGAGAGGCTCGAGGCTCAGAGGGTGTCTTGCTGCTGCCGGTCCCCTTGTCCACCGAATCCTCTCCCCATCACATCACCCTGTGGGACAGGATGGGCAGGGCCGGGAAGGACTGCACCAGAGGAGCAAGGGTTGGCTTGTCTGGGAGCTGGACCATGGTGAGGATGTGGAAGGACAGGCCCAGGCTCCCAACCAGATGTTCCGGTACCTGACAGATTTCCCTGGGTGTCTCTGTCCCCTTGGAACACAGCTCAGCTGCTGCCCAGTGCTGGGCGGGCTTTGGGGAACAATGTTGGGGACGCTGGGACCCTGGGGCCCATATTTGGACTGACCAGGCCATGGGGAGCTGAATATGGGCCCCAGACCAGGGAACTTCCGAGTGGGGATGGGAAACCAGGAGGAAGTGGAACTGCAGAACTTGGAATGGGGGTGACAGCTCACAGTGGGGATACTGAAATGTGAGAGGAGGCTGCCAGCCTTATTTCTGAGCTATTACTGAGGTGGGAAAGACCCCACAATTCACTCACCACCCAGTCCCACAAGAAGACAGAAAGACTGTTAGGCATGGCAGGAGAAATGAGTTGCGGGAGACCAAAATTGCTCTATTAGAATTCATTTGGCGTGTTTGAGCAGTGGTAGGACAGGTTAGAAAAGACCAGTAAGAGGGGTATGGAGTTTTATGGGGGATGTAAACAAGGCTGTTCCTCTTCACTGCTTCAGGGGCTTTTCGATGCATTGTTCATCTCAACTGAGGGTTTCGGGCCATGACTATGTCCTCTTGCTCTGTATCCTGGATCCCATGCCTGGATCCCATGCTGCTGACGGGGAATGTTCAGGTCCATTGATCATGGGCTCCTGTGAGAAAAATACAAGCCAGCAGGTACAAGCAAGCAGGGAGCAAGACAAGATGGCTTCTAAGATAAGATGGTTTCTATTCAGCACATTCTGGGTGGTTTCTCCAGGCCTAAGGTGGTTTCTGCTCCTGGCCTAACAGACCACCCCACGCTGGTGCTCCTGGGCCCATGTCTCCAGGCCTGGCCCCCGTAGTCTGTCCTTTCCACTTCTCTATGCCAGGAGCCAGGAAGCTCTCAGTGATTGTGGATTCTCCGGATACCTCCACAGCCCTGTCCCGGCCCAGCTGAGGCTGTGCCAGGACCAGCTCAGGCACAAGATCACTGCCATCATGGGGCCCTGGCGTCTCCTGAGTGCTGAGGCGTGGGGTGTGGTGAGGGGTGGTGGCCTCTGGGATTGGGCCTGGGTCTAGATGTAAATCCAGAATCCCACCTCCCAGAGCCAGCCTTCCCCTCTGTGGTCTGCAGTGTCAGGGTGAAGGACACTGGACATTCTGGAAGGGTCAGTGATCTCAGCACATGTCTCTAGTGCCTGTCTCAGATGCTTGGTGCTCAGGAGCACCAGTGACAGTTATCCAGAACCAGGTACACCAGGTGCCATGTGGGGATGGGCTCTGGTTCCACCTGGACTGGACTTGCAGCTCTGCCGCTTCATGGCTGTGTCAGTCATCCCGGCGTACCTCAGTGTCCTCATCTGTAAACTGGGTCAATAAGAATGATGAACCTGCACAACATGGGGCTGGGAGGTTAAATGGAAAAACCCGTGAAACATCTGGCCCCATACTCAGCATCCACAGGCCTCGATTCATAGTAACTCACAGTTATCAGTACCTTAGTCCCCCAACAGCCCCCTGAGAGCCCTATATTTGGCATATTTTACATCCAGGGAAATTGAGGTTTGGATGGGGGAGGTAACGTACCCAAGGCTTCCAGGAGAGGAACTGGCTGAGCAGAAGCAGAAGCACAGGCCCGGGGCTCTCCAGCTCCATTCAGGTCCTTGCCCAGCCTGGTGCCCCATCTGCTCGACCTGCACCCCAGATCCATACTCCTGAGCCCCAGGCCCCAGGGCTTCTCCACTGACGGGGTTTTGCCTCCTCTCCCAGGACAGAGCCCTGGACCGCGAGGTTCCTTGCCAGGGAGAAGGAGAAGAAATCCATCTGCTGGGGTCTGAGTGTGGCCTTGGGGACAGGCCATTGGTCCCGAAATGCCCCTGCCTGAGCCCAGTGAGCAGGAGGACGAGAGCATGAAGGCCGGCCAGGAGCCGTCCCCTGAGTCCCCTGAGCCAGGCACAGATGTCGTCCCCATAGGCCCCACGAAGCCCAAGGAGTTCTCCAATCTGGTCCTGCTAACGGCCTCCACTGAGAACAGGGATGGGGTGGGCTCCCAGCCCACAGGAATGCAGTGTGTCATGTCCCTGGGGATATCTGGCCCCGATACCCTGGCCAGGACCCTCCAAGTCCTGCCGGCAGAGGAGCAGGGAGGGGCAATCCAGCCAAGCTCCCAGGCTTCTGAGCAGAGAAGCATCAAGCCAGACACAGGTGAGTTCTGGGCCTGCTACCCCTGGCCCTGCATGCTCATATTGGGGCCCTTGTGCACCCCTCTTTCCAGTGGGGTGACCTTGGCTGTTCCATCTCTGCTCTGAGCCAAGCCTTGTCTCTAATTTTGACCTTGTACTAGGCTAATGTGATGATCCTCATCTGTGTCCACCCCGCATCGCTCCCGTCCATGTCCCTGGCCTCAAGTTTGCTCCATGTCAGCTAACTCGGCCCTCTCCTTGCCCTCAGCAGCCCCCAAGCCCCTGGAGTTCCTGAGGACCCCATTCGGGGGCCGCCTCCTGGTGCTTGAGTCCTTCCTGTACAAGCAGGAGAAGGCCGTGGGAAACAAGGTATACTGGAAATGCCGACAGCACACCGAGCTGGGCTGCCGGGGCCGGGCCATCACCCGAGGTCCACGGGCCACAGTCATGCGGGATCACTGCCACCTACCTGACGAGGAGGGCCTGAAGGCCCGGCGCCAAAGACAGAAGCTGCCCAACCCAGCCCTGCCGGAAGGCTTGGGGGGTCCTGCAGGCCCTGGAGACCTGGTGGAGGAGCCACTCGAGGGGGTGGGCCTGTGGCTGTGCCCTGAGGAGCCAGAGCCTGCTCCTGGGCTGGTCCTGAGCAAGCCAGCCCCAGAAGAAGATGAGAGACTGCGAACACTGTCATTGCTAAGCTTGCCTCCCAAGAAACGCCCAACACGGGGGACTGGTGAGTGCCTCCCACCTCGGCTCCACTCAGAGGCAGGCAGGAACCGGCAGGCCCTTTTCCTATGCCCAAATAGAAATGTAGGTTCCCACCTGGTTTTTTAAATGTGCTCCAAGTGAAAATGACTTAAAAATATAAACATGTCCCAGTCATCATTAAGCCCAATGTGATAGAAGTAGAACAACTGAACCAGGGGTTCTGAGTCCTGGAATTTTCTGACACAGCAGATTTCGGTGTGGGGCCCAGAAATACGAATTTTCACTGGCTCCATGTGATTCTGGTAACCCATAAAGTTTGGGAAGTTTGGCCTGGTGGGAGAGTCTTGAGCTTTGCGTCCCAGGTTCAAGTTCCAGTCCCACCTCATGTAGTTGAGTAACCTCAGAACATTTGCTGAACTTCTGGAGTTTTGGGAGCTTTATCCTAAGATGGGTGATGGCCTAGGTGTCAGGGAGATTCGGCGTTTGACTCGTGGGACGCGTTCAGCCCTGGCCCAGTGTGTGGTGGCACTGAGTAACTGGTAGATGGAATCTTCATGCAGTTTTTATTACCAGTAACTGGGAGGTGGGCTTGGCCCCAAAGGCCGAGTGCCTCCTGACCCGGAAAGGATTCAGGAACTCAAGGACTCAAGGGTTTAAGGCAGGCACTGAGGCGGGACTAGGGAGAGGGACTTGTTTTACACTGTGTATCTTCTGGTACCATTTGTATTTTATGGCATGTGTGTATATTACTCAAAAATTAGATACAATTTTCAAACATACCCTAAGAAAGAAGTATGGCCAGGAGTGACTGAGCCCATAGTCTGGGAGTCAGAGCTAGCTTGGCCCTTCCAGGTGTGTGACCTTGGACGTGGCCTCCTCACTGACCACCAGGAAAGGAAACGCACCTCCCCTTGAGTCGCTTGGTCGGGGGGTGGGGAGGTCAGTAGGATGCATTTGGACTGTGCACGCCTAGCCACATGTTCTGCTAGTCACACCGCCTGGCCGCCCCTTGGCCAGCGTGACTGCCCGCTTCCTCCTTTAGGAGAGCGTCCGTCCCTGGAGTTCCTGAGGACCTGCTATGGGGGCAACTTCCTGGTGCACAAGTCATTCCTGTACAAGCGGGAGAAGGCTGTGGGGGACAAGGTGTACTGGACGTGCCGGGACCATGTGCTGCACAGCTGCCGCAGCCGAGCCATCACCCAGGGCGAGCGAGTGACCGTGATGCGTGGCCACTGCCACCCACCCGACATGGAGGGCCTACAGGCTCGGCGACAGCAGGAGAAGGCCATGGAGACACTGAAGGCCAGGTCAGGTGGCCCTGGGGGCCAAGTGGACAAGCTGCTCCAAGGTGTGGACAGCCTCCTCTACCGCAGAGGGCCAAGCACCCTGACTCTCACCAGGCCCCGGCCCAGAAAACGTGCAAAGCCCCAGGCCCTGCAGGGATCCACCACCGAGGACCAGAATGAGGATCTGGGTGAGTCTTCCATACCCATTGGCCAGAGGGAGTCCAAGGGAGGAAGGGACCTCAAGTCTCATTTCCTGAGGACCTGGGAAGCAGGAGGGGGTAGCATTAGGCCTGGCTCATTTCTCCCCAGGAGGCCCTGAGTTCCTGAGGACCCCTCTGGGGGGCAGCTTCCTGGTGCACGAGTCCTTCCTCTACAGGCGGGAGAAGGCTGCCGGCGAGAAGGTGTACTGGACGTGCCGGGACCAGGCCCGTATGGGCTGCCGCAGCCGGGCCATCACCCAGGGCCAGCGGGTGACCGTGATGCGCGGCCACTGTCACCCACCTGACCTTGGGGGCCTGGAGGCCCTGAGGCAGCGGGAGAAACACCCTGGCACGACCCAGAAGGAGAGTTCAGGTAGGACAGACAGGGCGTGGGTCTCGGGGACAGGAGACGCAGTCAGCCATCCTTTCCCTCTTGACCCCTCCATGTCTCCCAGCAAGCAGCCTACCCTTCCTTACTAGGAACACTCTGGGAGAGGTTACAGCCCTCTCCTCCTTACCCACCTTCCCTGACTGGCCTCTGGATAGCTGGACACTCCTGTTCACTCAGGTGGCGGTCCTTCTCCTCCTGCTCAGACCAGCCCGAGCTGCCCCCAGATCTCTGCAGCACATGATCAACTCAGGCTCCCTTTCTTCCTCCTCCTCCCTTCTTTTTCTTAAGAATATAGGGTTCATAGAGGAAGTGAACTGGGCACAGCAAGTTTCTCATTTTTACAGTGTGAATGGATAATACAGTGCCTAGTAACAAGCACATCCTACAGACCAAGTGGTTGCAGGACGGAGGGTGATATTTTCATGTAATCAGTCAGCTACCTCTCTCCTCCAACTTTTCTCCATAAATATTTATCATCGTCCCTAAAGGAGGGTCACAGCCCCCCTCCTTTCACCTTTGTCCACTTGGTCAGCCCCACAGTGCCTGGTTTGGACTCTCAAGGTCACAGTAATGTAAATGATCATGTGCTCATCTTGCTAAGAAGAGCAGCTTTGGCCCAGCCTTTTCTACTTACCCAGCTCTTCATTTATGTCCACGAGACACCTGCCTCTCCTTCAGGGGTCCCAGTCCTACCATTTTCTGAGTCATCTGCATCACCTTAGAGTCCTTTTGGCCCAACATTCTCTCAAATCGAGATCTTGATTTTATTTCCTTCTGACTCTTTTTATTCCATTTCCATGTAACTTCTGTGTACGTGGAGATGAAGCTACAAGGCATACGGCAGCTCTGCCCCATACTCACCCCCAACTCCCACCCCAAATAACCACTCTGAACTCCTTCCCTTGTTTCTTGGGGTATCTGCTGCCCTATTACCTTTTTTTTTATTATTGGGTAACAGTGTGTTCTTCCGAGGACCCATCAGCTCCAAATCATGTTGTCCTTCAATCTAATTGTGGAGGGCGCAGCTCAGCTCCAAGTCCAGCCGCCGTTTTCAATCTAGTTGCGGGGGGCGCACCCCACCACCCCATGTGGGAATCAAACCGGCAACCTTGTTGTTCAGAGCATGCCTGCTAACCAGCTGAGCCACCGGGCCACCCCGGCTGCCCTATTTCTTAAAACGTGGTTCTACTGCTACCAACTGGCTCTTTAATCTCTTGTCGACTTGCAGTGAAAGGACAGATGCAGCTGTTACCTGCTGCCCCCATCCTCTCTGTGCAGTTACTGCAGTTTTTTAGGTTTTGTTTTATTACATAAATCTGCTCACGGCTAAGCTGGGAATACACTGCAATTGTTTCGTCCTCACACAGCTATTTGTTTCCTGTGCAGTCCAGCAGCCACTTGATTTGTTGGCCTAACATTCTGTGTGTCCATCACTTCTTTTCCTCACACATCAAGTCAACCCAGCAGCTGCAACCCCAGGCTTTGCTCCCGCCTCCCCATCTCCCCAGGGTCCCCTGGCTGGAACCCATGTCTTTGAGCCTCTGTTTCTCTTGCTTGGTTTACCCCCCCCCTTATCTTGCAAAGTCCCTCCTCTAGCCACTCCATGAGCCAGAGTCCCTGGAGGCCACACTGTTGAGATCATGCATGTCTGACGGTGTCTTGATGGAGAGCATGGCTGTTTGTGGAGCTCCAGATTGTAAATCCTGCTTCCATGGTTGCCTGGTCTCTGTTCTTGAATGACCTGCAGCTTTCTGAAGACTTATCCTATGCATGTGATGGGTCATGGCTTGAAGTTTTAGGGCTACGTCTCAGTAGCTGGGCTGGTTGGTGCGCACAGAAACCTCCCATAGTGGTCTAAGACTTCCACTTCCTCCTCCCCCACCCCGAAGACTCTTCCTCCCCCAAGTGTAGACATCCTCATCTCATTGCTCT